AAATGGTAGAAAAGACAAGGACATGGGCAGGAATGAGATTTCTCAGGGTATAGCTTTTTTCATATAGTTTACTTTCTAGAATTCTTTTTTTTTTTTGGTATTGGGGATTGAACCCAGGGCACTACCCCACTGAACTACATCCTCATCTCTCTGTTTTTATTTTTGAGACAGGGTCTTGCTAAGTTGCCCAGGCTGGCCTCAGACTTCACTATCCACTGCCTGAGCCTCCCAAGTCTCTGGGGTTTCAGGTGTCACCATGCCTGGCCATGGTTCACAGTTTTGCACCATGAAAGTGTAGCATGGGTACAAGCTTAGTGACAAAAGAGAAACCTCCAACATCAACTTCACTAGGAGATTATTTTCTAAGAATCACATGATTGAATAAACCTGATTCTAATGAAAACCTACTGAGCAATATCCAATTTCACTAATTCTCCCCAAAGCAGCATACCCTGACAAGCAGGCAAATTGGCTGTGTTTGATGTTAGATAAAGAAAAAAAAATCATTAAAGATTAATTTAGGAGTTCCCTTGTTTTCACCCTCTAATCCCTCTAAGGGGGATTGGTATCATTACCAAGGCTTTGCCATCCACATCAGATGGATTGTTATTTTGTTTTTTTTAACAGCTAGTCTAATTTTGCTTCTACAGAAACTTGTTCAATCTGAAGGCAAGTTTCAGCTTGAGACTCCTTTCAGTCCCAGAAAAGAATATAGAAACCATAAAAATAGAGATCCTGACACCAATGGTAAACTGAGGCAGGCCACTCTGGGCCTCTTCTCTTGGACTAGCAGGATAAATTCATACAGGTCATTGGGGAGACTCTGTTTCATTAAAAGTTCTCTCCTTGTGTTTGGAAAAATAAACTCCGCACCTATCCCAAGGATGATGGCAGAAGTTACTGACCTCTTGTTCCCACCAGTCTGCTTCCTGTCTAATCCCTGTCTGGTAACTGGCTTCTTATTTTCAACCCCACACTTGAGCTCCTTGGAGGACATCCTCAGGGTCTCCTTTACATCACCATCGCCCTTCATCCAACCAGACTTCTGTCCTTTGGCCACTGGTAGAGTTCAGAGCATTATTGTTTTCTTTTTTGTTTCATATCTGTTTCCCTCCTGTGCATTACTTTTTTTAAAAAAATATTTTTTTATTTGTTTTCAGTAGTTATACATGACAGTAGAATGCATTTATGCACTTTGATGTATCATACATAGATAGGATATAATTTCTCATTTTTCTGTGTGTACATGTTGCAGAATCATATTGGTCATGCAGTCACATATATACATACAGTAATAATGTCTGTTTCATTCTAGTATCTTTCTGTCTTTCCTATCCCTACATCCCGCTCCTTCCCTCCCATCACTTCCCTCTACCTAATCTAAGGTAACGCTATTTTTCCCTAGTGCCCTCCCCCATCGCCTTATTGTGAATTAGCATCCACATATTAGAGAAAACATTTGGCCTTTGGTTTTGTGGGATTGGCTTATTTTACTTAGCTCCAAACATTTACTGGCAAATTCCATAATTTTACTCTTCTTTAAAGCTGAGTAATATTCCATTGAGTATATATACCACATTTTCTTTATCCACTTATCTATTGAGGGACACTTAGGTTGATTCCATAGTCTAGCTATTGTGAATTGAGCTGCTATAAACATTGATGTATCTCACTAAAATTCTGGCAAATCGCATACAAAAACATATCAAAAAGATAGTGTACCACAATCAAGTGGGATTCTTCCCAGGGATGCAGGGTTGATTAAACATATGGAAATCAATAAACTTAATACATTATATTAATAGACTTAAAAACAAGAATCATATGATCATCTCAATAGATGCAGAAAAAGCATTTTACAAAATATAGCACACCTTCATGTTCAAAACATAGAAAAACTAGGGATAGTAGGAACATACATCAACATCGTAAGAGCCATATATGCTAAACCCAAAGCCAGCTTAATTATAAATGGAGAAAAGGTGAAAGCATTCCCTTTAAAAACTGGTATAAGACAAGGATGTCCTCTTTCACCACTTCTATTCAACATCATCCTTGAAACTCTAGCCAGAGCAATTAGAAGAAAGAAATTAAAGGGTACACATGGGTAAAGAAGAACTCAAACTATCACTATTTGCTGTGCGTTTCTTATTTTGCTTTCAGGAGATCTTTCTAGGTGACCATTCTGATCACATGGCTCTGTAGTCATACCCTCCAGTGGCTCCTGCTGCCCTGGCTCCCCTTTGGGGGGGGCATGGGCCTTCAGGCCCTGGTCGAGGGGCCTCCTTGGCCTTACCCCTGGCTCTTCCCCACTCTGCAGCCCTGCACTCAATGCAGGAGTCAACCCCAGAGCATGAGAAGACATCCCAAGCCTGCCGAGAAAAGGGTCTGAGCATGGCAACATGACCCAGTGTTCTCTGGGCCGTCGCCAGTTTGCCGATGGCCCATCTTCCTGTACTCTCTTCCCCAGCTCCCCGCCCCCCACCTGCAACTCCCCACTGCTCTAAACTGTGCTCCTCTGCAAGAGTAGCATCGTGGTGTCCTTCCCTTGATGATCTTCTTCTTGGCCTACAAAAGTTGATTCGTGGGTGCATCAACTTCAAGAGGACTGAGGTGACAGGGAACCTCTCTCCAGTTGGCTTTATGTGCCTTTTTCTTGTTTCATTCCATGTAGCTATTTGTGCCCATAACTAACATAAAACCTAGCTATTTTTTCTCTGGCCACCAAACTAGTAGCTCATTAAGGAGAAATTATTATTATTATTTTTAAAATCTCTGTATCCTAAATGCTTAAACACAGTTCCTGAGTTTAGTGTGTACCCAAAAATAATCAATGAAGGATTCATTAAATGATTATGGTAAATGAATAAATGAGTCTTCCATTGAATGCAAGATACTTGTATACTTTATGAGAGATGAAATTGAGATGGGAGCCAGAGTATACTTAGTGGTTCATCTTTGTTGTTCATTGTTTCAGAAACAAACTTTCTTAGCCAGGTGCAGTGATGCATGCCTGTAACCCCAGTGACTCTGGAGTCTCAGGCAAGAGGATCACAAGTTTGAGGCCAGCGTGGGCAACTGTGTGAGAGCCTGTCTCAAAATAAAAAATAAAAAGGGCTGGAGATGTATGTAGCTCAGTGGTAGAGTGCCCCTGGGTTCACACCTGCAAAAAATAGATCTTCCTTGCATATTTTAGAATTTCTTCCTTAAATGTTCATTTTTTGACTGTTAATATGTAAGAATAGGCTCAGGTAGCAACTGCTTCATAATAATCCAGGTAAAAGTACTTTAAAGAAGAACTGATGCCCTAGAGGAGATTCATGTTGAACAAAGCAAAATGGTTAAGATCCTGCTCTTAAATTCTATGAAACCATCTGACCACGTAACCAGGCCAAGCAGCAGGGTGCAAACCCTATGAAACATAGCTTTCTCTATTAGAAATTTCAACTTAACCATGGATAGGTTTTTTTTTTTTAAATATTGTTTCAATTTGTGTTTTTTAAATGTAATTTTTAAATTATATACAAGTAAGTATACGTGTGTGTGTGATTTGTGTAGTTTGTGAATGGTGAATTGTTTATTTTCCCTGTTTTTACTGGGATATTTTAAAGCCTGATCTGTAAAGTGTTTTTTTTTTTTTTTATAAGCACTTTCCTACTTTGTTATAAATATTATTAGCACTTTCTCAGTTTGCCCTTTTTCTTCTTTTTAAATATTTTTTAGTTGTAGATGGACACAATATTTTATTTATTTACTTTTATGTGATGCTGAGGACCAAACCCAGTGCCTCCCTCGTCCTAGGCAAACGCTCACCAATGAGCTACAACCCTGCTCCTTATCTTTGTGAAGGCCCTTCTTATCCTACAATTGTACAAACATTTCTCTGTATTTTTTTTTTCATACTACTTTTATGGTTTTATTTTTCCTCAAAGGAACTGCTAATCCATTGAGAATTTCCTCATGTGGTAGAAGAGAGGAATTAGATTTTTTTTTTTTCCAGAAGGTCAGCCCATTTTTCCAACACCGTTTGTTGATAGTATTGTACCTGTTCCACTAAATGTAGTGCTTTTCTTTTCTATCTTCCAGTGTGTCTCTTCTTTTCTCTCCAGCTAAATTGTGACTCTGCTATTATTTCTAGGTTCAGTAGTAATAGCAAGTTAATTTTCATTTCTGAATGGGAAGGATCACAGTGTAGAGGACACTTTTGACCTTACAGAGAACACAATCATCCCTAAGGGACTGGTTCCAGGATGCCTCACCCCCTACCCATCACAGATGACAAAATCTTCAAATGCTCAAGTGGTGATTTTTTTTTTTTGTACTGGGGATTGAAACCTAGGATGGTTAACCACCGAGCCACATCCCCACCTATTTTTATTTTTTATTTTGAGACGGGGTCTCTCTAAATTGCCCAGCCTTGCCTTGAACTTATGATCCTCCTATCTCAGCCTCCCAAGTTAACTGGAATTAAAGGCATGTACTATCCCGCTCAGCTGCCTTCCAGATTCTTGGTAGGATTGTATTTCTTCACCCTCATGGTTGGATGAAACTGTGTAACTAGCTCTGATAAGTTATAAGTGAACATGCCATGTGTCCTGTTGGGCCAGAGCATTTAATTACAGGTGTGAGAACTTCCAGAATTCTTTCTGTTAAATAATGACTGATGATGTTTAGGGCAGTGACTTTTCCTTTGGTCTGGATCTCAATGACTATAATAAATAGAGCTCTCAGCCCATCCTGGATTGTGATCAACAATAAGCCACTGAGACGTGAGTATTGTTTGTTCCAGAAGCATAACCTAGCTTATCCTGACTGATTCACATATTGTCTTTCAATATCTCAATTTAATTTCTTTGTCATCAACTGAACTCAAATTAGAGGGCTTCATTGGGAGAAAATATTATTTCATATGAATGATTGAGATTAGGGAGAAATATTTTAGGAAAAAAAGACACAAAATAATAACTTCATTTGATTTTAGGATAATCTTATTTTTTCAGGTAATCTGGTACCTTCAAAATGTTTGCCAAAGCAACAAGGAATTTTCTTAAAGAAGTTGATGCTGACGGTAACCTGATTTCTGTATCAAACTTAAATGACTCTGACAAGTTACAACTTCTAAGTCTGGTGACCAAAAAGAAGAGATACTGGTGCTGGCAGAGACCTAAGTACCAGTTTTTATCTGTCACTCTTGGAGATGTACTCACAGAAGATCAATTTCTGAGTCCAGGTATGTTTCTTTGTGTATTCTATAATTATTCCCAGACATAAGATGGATCTTCTTTGAGACATGTGTTCCCTGGAATTGAGGTGATACCTTCTAACTAATTCTCATTTTTCTTTGCCTACTATCTTAAAAACATATCCTTACTTAAAATGAATGAAATTCTGCATGCACAACATGACAGCTTAATCTTTTAAAAATATTATTTCAGTTTTGGTATAAAAGTCAGTCATGTCCATCATAAATGTTGTGGGCACTCAGCATAAGTGGAATGTGTCCCTACTCAAAATTTTGTTTGGCGTTGATATTGGTGATGCCACATACCTATCCAAGGGGGTGTAAAGGGTTAGTACCTTCTAGGGAGCATAAGGCAGACTGTCAGACTGGGCCAAAAATGGAATCAGAGAAGGGGTAAGGAGACAGGCTCAGTTTTTATTGTGATTACTGGACGGAGATGGGGTACTGATTGGAGCTTGTGTGGTGTAGTTTTCTCTAGCATCAATGAAGGGAGCAACTGGACTTTCTTACTAGTTTGGATGTGCAACAGAAAAAGAAGAGAAAGAGTGTGGGGGGGCGCGGAGCTTGATGGCTGTCAACAGACAGATTGCACAAAAAATTGGACGCAATATTATAGTACAGTCAAGGACAGCATTTCAGTCAGTGACAGACTGAATACAAGATGGTGGTCCCTTATGATCATATTGCTTAGTGACATCTTAGCTGCCTCAGTTTGTATAAGTGCACTCTATGCTGTTTTTATGATGATGAAATTGCCTAATAATGCATTTCCCATAAATTGTCCCCATCGTAAAGTGATGTATGATGACTATGTAACAAGATATAGACAGGTAAAGAAGGAAAAAGAGCAACAAAAATTCCATCATTGCTGGTTAATCTCCATTAACACAGAAGTCTAGTCTTTTCTTCTCTGCATCTAATTTTTTAACATTTATTTTATTTTTTTTTTTTAGAGATGGGGGTCTTGCTATGTTTCCCAGACTGGCCTTGATCTGGGATCAAGCAATCCTCTTACTTCAGCCTCCTCCATAGCTGGGAGAACAAGAGTGTACCACCGTTCCTGGCCTTGTCATCTAACTTTTAAAAAACAGAATTAGAATCATACTAATTTTTAATGCACTCCTTTTTAATTTTTTAATTTAACTTTATGTAAGTTTTCTCCATAGTTTTAAGTATTTTAATGATATTTTCAACAAACACATTGTTCCTTTGTGTGTATACACCCTAATTTGCTAAACCATTCCAATTTAGTGTTTATAATAAAGAAGGCTGAAGTGAACATTTTATTTATGTTTTTGTGGGTATTTTTAAGTAATCACTTTAGCATGGATTCTTAGAATACTGGATCAGTTTTGTTTTGTTTTATTTTGTACCGAGAAAGGATTCACCTTGAACTTGCAATCCTCCTGCCTCAGCCTCCAAGTTTCTGGGATTATAGGCGTGCTCCACTGTGCCTTGCTTCATCAGTTCTTAATTAGTGGATGGAATATGTCTTAGTCCTCTTTCAGCTCTAAAATTCTCTAATTTTGTGATTGTATTTCTATTAAAGGGGAAAAGAGTCTCCAAACTTTCTTCCAGGCAAGTACTCCAGCCAGTATTCTCTTTAGTCAGCCCATTGGAGCTGCCAAGCAAGGGGAGAATGAATTGATATGAGTTTTTCATCATGCCCTAGCTTGGATTTGTATGCTTTCTAGTAAAATTTCTATTGAATTGTGAAATAACTAAAAATAAGTAGGAGCAAATAGACCAAGGGTCCCTGAGTAATTGGAGTTCCTCTACTTTGTGATATAAAATGGCTTTTTGTGGTGTCCTGAAAGATTATGAAAACCACATTGAGTTGGTGAGACCAGTCACTGTCAGTGCAGATAAAGAATATGATCATCATCTGAGGTCAGAGCGCATCCTGGATTCTGTCATGTTGGTGTTAAAGCAGTTATGAAAAGTGTCCCCTACTCTATCTACCAAGATGATTTAGGATGCTTCACCTTTAGGTGTTTTTTTCCTGCTCCCAATAGCCCTGGCATGACTGTTGATCAGGGGAGTGATTGTGGAAGGGACAGTGATTTGGTTCCTGGCAGTTCCATGACAGCGTGCTGGTCCCCTCATTTTTTCCACCAGCAGCAGTGGATGACTGATGTAGAAGTATGGGCAAATGACATCTTTTCAGGAGGTGTGACTAGGGTGGTGTCCCAGAGTACACAAAGTCCTGATTATCCCCACTTTGTGTAGCTAGTTTTGGAGACACAGTTTCCAACAGTGGTAACAAGCCTGAATCCAGAAGGGTGTACTGAAGATAGAACTTCTGTCTGTATAGCACTTTGTAGAACCTAGGACTGTCCTGTTTACAAGAAAAGAATGCTGCTCTAGTCTAAACCCAATAGATAGATAGATGGAGCCATGGCTGTATTTCTTCCTTCTTATACATCAACTAGCAACAGCATCAGGTAGGTATCATTGGTTATCTGCAAATTGCATATGAAAATCTGGGATGCAAGTAAATGAATGTTGTCCAGTCTTCCAGGGCTGATGATGTAGCTCTGTGGTAGAGTATTTGCCTAGAATATGTGAGGCCTTGTATCAAAAAAAGTTCTCACCCAAGATCTTCCAGTTAGTAATATTAGAGCAAAGACATGATCTTAAACTATTACTGTCTGCTCCACCCTGCTTCCCAAAGCATTTCCCAAAGTGTTTGTATTTCGCAAAATGTTAACTAGGAAAGGCTTTGGATTGAGAGCATTTTCATAGACTTCTTATTTTGGGTGGTGGTGTGAAAAATTATGCTCTTTTTTGTAAATTGCAAAAATAATGAATGCTGATGACTTATCAACCCTGGGTAAGGAGTGGGTTTTCTTGACTGGTTTGAAAGAAATGCAGCTGCTGAGGCTGTGTGTGTGTGTGTGTGTGTGTGTGTGTGTGTATGGATTCTGGGTGTATGTGTGTGTGTATGGATTCACAAGGGTTTTAATCCCTTGTGAAGGGTACCCAGGAGCCCAATAGAACCTTGGATCAGAGAAATGGAAAAGTCTAACTGTGAAGTTAGTAGCAGGCTCTTTTTTTTTTTTTTTTTACACTGGGGATTGAACCCAGGGGCACTTAACCACTGAGCTACATCCTCAGGTCTTTTTATTTTTTATTTTGAGACAGGATTTTACTAAGATGCTCAGGGTCTCACTAAGTTGCTGAGGCTGGCTTTGAACTTGCAATCCTCCTGCTCAGCCTCCCAAGCCAGTGGGATTATATGCGTGCACCACCATGCTCAGCTCCTAGCAGGTTCTTAATGTATCCTTACCCATGTGATGATGGAGACTATTTTATGGTTGTACCTGTTTTGATTAAAAATGGGAACAGAGGTTTCAGTGTAGCTTAGTGATATCAGTAGTAGAGTGTGCGATTAGAATGCCCAAGCCCTGTGTTCAACTCTAGTGCACGCACTTACACACACACACACACACACACACACACACACACGGGAGAACAGTAGAAGGTTGGAGACAAGAGGAAGCTCTAGTTCACATATGAGATCAGCAGATATTTATCTTTAGAGTTCAGATAAGAAGGATAGACCTTTAAGGAGCTCTGATAGCAATCACTGGATATGGCCAGATGAGGAATAGTAATTGCCAGTTGACATGATTGAAGGTGGGATACCAGTAGTGGTGGCAGATTCCTTAGCATCTGGGAAACGAGGAAAGAAGAAGGGAGAGAATCTTGGAGCTTCTGGATGGTGATTGAGGGGTTGGGCATGTCCAGCTGACCTTATAAGGAGGACAGTGATAAGGAATTGCATGATAAAGAATGGCTAGAGGACAGATGGGAAAATGTAAACATGGGAAGAAAATTATCTGATTGGGGAAGATAATGAGGGACAGGGAATGTTCTCCAAGACTGGTGCATGGGAAGGCAATTTGACCAAGGACAGGTCCAGATGGCTGACCTGCCAGATGCTGAGGCACTCCTCTAGCAGGTGGGGTGCAATTATGATGAGGGCTTAGGTGTCTTCCACCTGCCATTCCTTTTCAGTTTACTCTTGTAAACCACACATTTAAAATTCTCTGTTTCTTTACTGGATAGTGTTTGATTAGTTAGGTTTGTGTTGCTGTGACCAAAATATCCAACATGAACAATGTGGAGGAAATGTTTTTGGGGGCTCATGGTTTCAGATGTCTCAGTCCATGTCAGCTGGTTGCAATGCTCTGGGCCCAAGGCGAGGCACACTTCAGGGCAGAAGTGTGTGCAGAGGGAAGCAGTCAGAAAGCACAGATGGGGAAGGGGGAAGAGGCTGCAGGGGAGATGAACTCCTTTAGGGCACACCCCCAGTGACTCACCTCTTCCAGCTACTGACCTACAGTTACCATCCAGTCCATTCAAATTAGGATGTACTCTTAAGGTTATAACTCTCACAATTCAATCATGTCACCTGTGGACATTACTACATTAACTTTTGGGTCACACCTTATATCCAAACCACGAATTCTACCCCTCGTCCCCCAAGCTCATGTCCATCTCACAATGCAAAATGCATTTAGTCCATCTGTAAGAGTCTCATAGTCTTGAGAGTTTCAGTATTGCCCAAAAGTCCCAGTCTAATGTCTCATCTGAGACTCGAGGCAAACTCTTGGCTGTGAGCCCCTGTAAAAATAAAACAATCCAATATTTTTATTCCAAAAGGGAAGAATAGGGGCATAGAAAGAAGTGATAAGGCCAAAGCAAGACTCAAACCCAGCTGGGCAAACAGGTCTGCTAACTCTGTGTACAACATCAATTGACACGTAGCTGTGAGATGGGCTCTCCAAAGGGTGTGGGCAGTACACCCCTTTGGCCTTGCTGGTTGCCGGGCACAGGGCCTCTCTTTTAGCCTGGCTCCCTCTGCAGCCAGCAACTGTGGTAAACAGTCCATGTTGCTGACATTTTTAATTCTTGTGGTCTCCATTTCAGTTTTGGCTTCACTTTCAAAGCTCCATGCATCATGTCTCAGGGGCAGCCTGCTATACTTTACCTGGCCTCCCAGCCTTTCCTTTGAAATCTTAGTGACTGTGACCTCCATGACCCCTGAACTTTAGTATCTTGCATTCTTGCAGAACCAGCATCTTGTGGATGACACCAAGGTCTGCTGTCAGCTTGTACATATTTGGTCCCCCTGGAACCAGAGCTGCGGCAACCTCTGAATGCTTGGGCAGCTGAATCTGGTGAAATAACTTCCTAGGCTCTGCTATGGAAGCAGGGTGTTCCCATGATCTCTTCTCAAAGGAATTTTCCGTTTTGACCTGGAAGTGGATGTGATCTTGCAAATTCCTGAGATGCCCTTGAGGTATCTTCCCAGTTTCCTCTGTGCAAAGTACTTAGCATTTCTTTTGAAGATATGATCTCTTCAAAAAGCCTACCTTTCTTGGTCCCCTTCAACTCTACTTACTGTTCCTGATTCTTACAGTAAACCTGGATAAAAGCTGCCAGCAAAATCCAGGCCACTGACTGAATGCTATGCTGCCTGGAACTTTCCTCTATCAGATTAATTAGTCCATCACCTTTAAATTCAGCCTCACCAAAAATCTCAGGACATGGGCAATGGGTAGACAACTTCTTTGCCAGAATGTAACATGAATGATCTCTAGTCCAGTTACTAATAGAGTCCTCATTTTCCTCTGAAACCTTATAAGCAGAGTCTACTTTCCTATCAAGATTCTGGTCTTCTGAGCTCCCGCCAGAATTGCCCATTAATCTCTGCTTACACAATTCTAAGGCTTCTCTAGCCTGCATTTTCAAATGTCTCCTGCAAACCATTCCCAAAGCTTCTGAACCACATGGCCAGGTTAGTCACAGCAATGACCCCACTCTTGGTACCAATTTCTATTTTAATAAGGTTACAGTTCTCACAATCCAATCATTTCACCTTGGAACATTCCTGACTTAACAAGGAGTTTTTGGATGACACTGTATACAAACCACAACTGTGGTTAAAGAAATATTCACTTGAAAATGATTTGCTGAACTGCACTGATGCTTTTTGTGCACTTTCCTATACTTACATTGGGATTGAAAAGTCTAAAAAGCACCCAGGGAGTCTAGGCAATTCCAGGCATGCTCCTGGTTACACACAGTTGTGGTGGCTCCGTTTCTTTTGCTTTTACATAAAATATAGTGCTGGCTTTCCATTCGGATGCCAGCAGCATGTTTCCCAAGAGTCTGGGCAGGGTTAGAAGCTAGGTGACCTGAGACACAAGTGGCTTTTTCGTCTTCCGATTTTTCTTCTCCATTCATTGCAGTGGTCGTGGAGTCCGACTTTGTGAAATACGAGGGCAAGTTTGAAAACCATGTGAGTGGGACCATTGAGACCATTCTGGGGAAGGTCAAGCTGAACATTGGAGGCAAAGGCCTGGTGGAGAGTCAGTCTTCGTTTGGAACCCTGAGGAAGCAGGAGGTGGACCTGCAGCAGCTCATCAGAGACGCGGCCGAGAGGTAATGAGAAACCGGTTTGGCATTTTGGATTTTGACACATCTCACATTTAAAGGTTGTTCAGTTAAAAGGGTGAGAAATGCGAACTTTTCCAACCAACAAATGTTTATTGGATGCCCATTGTGCTGAAACTTCATAAGGAGCACATTCTTCATTTTAGAATTTCTTGACTGTTCTTAGCCTGAGGGTAGAGACCTGGAAAGCACTTTAAAAGGACATTATTTCAGCAAATGGTCCTTTCTCCCAATCTTATGATTTAGAAAATGCTATACAGTGTAAAAGCTCTGTCCTGCATCTAGAATATTAATATCAGAAGCAGAAAAATGATGAACCTTCTCTGGTTCTTTTTATTGTTCTAATAAGAAAAACATGAGAGCAAGCAAGGGACTTCAGGGATAAAATATTTTTTTCTACTTTTCTTAAAGAAAACCCTGCATTTATTCATTCATCTTTCAGTAAATACCCTTTATCCCATGACAGCTCATCGTTATTTTTACCTTATGCTTATTCAACATTTTAATAATTTGATTGAGAGGATTGTATGTGCCATGTGATGTTGTCCATGCTAAGGATGCTGTAGTGAACTAGATGCCATCATTTCTGCCTGGCATTCTAGTGGGGAGAGACACAAACTATATAACACAAAATGCATGGCGAAATAACATAGGCATCTCATCAGTTGATGAGATCAGTGGACTGGAGGCAAATATAGCAGAGAGCGGGGATAGGATGTGCTCAGAGTGGTGGCCAGAGACGGCACTCAGAGAAGCTGGCATGAGACAAAGCCCTGAAGGAGGGGACAGAATGAGCATGGAATGTCCTGGGCAAGGATGTCATGGGCAGTGGCCAGGGTAGCTGAAGCCAAGAGAGCCAGGGAAGACCCAGGAAGACTAGAGGAGAGCCACGTCCTGCAGGACCCCAAAGGCTATTGGAAAGACTTTGTCTCACAGAGTGAGCTAGAAAGCCCCTGGAGGATTCTGAGCAAGGAAATGACATGATCTGACTCTTTTTTTTTTTTTTTTGACAAGGGTCATTCTGGCTACTGGTTTGAGAAAAGGGTGGATAGGAAGAAGCCAGGAATCCAATTGGGAAGTTATTGCACTAACCCAATTGAGATGATATTTCAGTTTATACAGTACCATATGTTCATTTTCATGTGTAATTTTATCACCTTTTTTTTCCCTCTTATGATAGAAAATTCAAATCCAAATGAATTAAGAGAAAACTCACTTGTATCTAACTATGGTTGCCTTATCTCCTCTTTTCCAGTGTTCTTAGGTTGAAATATAAAATATGTGCTCATTGAACAAAATTATGTTTAAATATTAATGAATAAAATATACCATAAAACACACATATCAAGAGCATTTGGTGGGTGGATTTTGTACAGATGGGCAGCTGAAGTCTTAAAAAACTGTACCTGTCCAGTAACTGCCCACGTTCAATGGTCTTTCTGGGACTCCACGACTCCATGGAATTGGGGCTCCACTGGGCAACCCCTTTTGGTGAAAGAACTTTAAGCTCTCTGGTGGCACCAGTGGAAGGCACATTCATCTCTGACAGTCGCGATCTTTATTTTCTTTCTTACTTCCTTTTCTTGGTTGGAGAGGCATTTTCCTTCTCTGTGCAATATTAGGACATTCTAGAAAATCATTTGTTTATCTGAAATTAAAACGTAACGGGGCACTTTATATTTTCTGTTGCTAAATCTGGTGACACTGTCAACAGGAGAAGAAGAGAAAGATTGGGGGAGTCCAGGGTTTCTCTTGGCTCCCTCAGTCTTCACATAGCCCCTCTTAAGCTAGATTTTGCAGTCTTGTTATTTCTATTTCAAGAACCACAGTTGGGCAATGCTCTCTAGTCACATTTCCTGACACACATTTTAAAACACTCTTCAGGATTCAGGTATGGAAGCTATTGCCAGCAGGAAGCACGTGGGGGTGGGGTCTCTGATATGAATGCAAGAAAACATTCTGGAGAGAAAGAAACTAAAGCCAACAGTTGTGGGGGGGGGGGCATAGAGAGAGTCAGGGAAGAAAAGGAGAACCTTCTATGTGCCAGGCAGTTTATACCCATCGTTTCTTTTCCTCTGCATAGCTTTCCTTTTTTTATACATTAGTGAACTGAGGCCCAAGAGGATGAAATTTGTTCCTAGGCCCAGAGTTCAATTTGAGTGCTGGAGTTAGGTTTCCACCCAGGATTTCCTGACTTCAAATCATCTGTTCTTTCCTCTAAAACATGATTGAACTGACTGTGAAGAAAAGAAATTGGCAGAGATTCAAGTAGTTAAATTGGAACATGAATGTAAAGGCAGTGTTGTGAATCTGAGTCCTCTGTGAGGCTGCCTAGTGGGGGACATAGATATGTCCTATCCTGAACAGACACACGGGAGTAGCTAGGCCTGCTCACCTAGAGGGGCCTGGACACTGGGATAAGATCACCTGGGAAGACTCTGAGAATCCTATTGATTGTAGAGATAATAGGAGAAGGGATAGCCCAGAAAGTGGAGGCCTTGGGAGCATGATAAAGAATAAATATCATGGGCTCGGTGTAGCTCAGTGGTAGAGCACAAGGCTTAGCATGCACAAGGCCCTGGGTTCAGTCCCCAATACCACAAAATAAAAAACTATAAAACATAGAATAAATTTAAGTCCTAGGAATGCAAGAGTTATCTTATCACATAGTTGTCTCTTCCTTGTTATGTTGCTAAGAGCTAAAGGTGAGCTGCCCAGGAAGGGAGGGTAGCGAAAGGGGGAGAGAGAGGGAAGGTACAACTCTCCCAGTCCTGAGATGGTCATTGGTAAAGCTAGCATTATTGTTATTTCACACGGGAGTAATAAATTCTTATCCATGTCATCTGCCTGTCTTTGGACTCTTACAACATCATCAGCATAGATAAGGTGCTGTTGACACACATGTGGCCTTGGGAGTGGTGATTAGTGATGCTTAAGTACTGTATGTTCCTGAGGGCTTATTTGCAGTCAGTCATTTTTATTTCTGGTCATTTAGATAAGTTGTCATCTGTATGCAGGTTATTTTAGCCCTTAGAAATCAAAGTATTGGATTTATCATCTATGAAATGTATGTGCATCTCAAAAAACTTAATCAATCCTAGAAAAACAATCATGTGTATAAGTGGCATTTATCTAGCATTGTTGGGCACAAAGGCATTCCCTGGGAATTAGCCTTCTGATACTTGGAGCCTTTGAATGGGCCCTCTAGGTTTATCTTAAAAATTCTCAGTGGAAAGAAATCTAAGATGTATACATATTTTCCTTCTTTTTTTTTAAAAAAAATTATTTTTTAAAATATTTTTTTTAGTTGTAGATGGACACGATACTTTTATTTTGTTTATTTATGTTTATATGGTGTTGAGGATTGAACCCAGTGCCTCACATGTGTAAGGCAAGCACTCTACTGCTGAGCCACAACCACAGCCCCTCCTTCCTCTTTTTTTAAAAATATATATTTTAGTTGTAGATGGACATAATACCTTTATTTTTTTTTTAATGTGGTGCTGAGGATCAAACCCAGTGCCTCACACATGAGAGGCGTGAGCACTCTACCACTGAGCTACAAACCCCAGCACCCCCCTTCTTTTTTAATGGAGAAAAATCAACTTATAGAGCCTTCTGCTAATGACTAGAATTCATTTTTAGTCTTAATGTCAATATTATTGTGTAATAAACTCTGTGGTTTTTCTGCCTGTCTTCCATCCTGAGCTGCCATTTGTCATTGCCTAAAGTATAACAGCGACAACCCACCCCACCTTTTGCCACGGGTTTGTTGCTTCTAATCTCTTGGGGTCTGGAGAAGTTTATTCCTGATAAATAACTTTTGTGGACTTGGTAAGTCAATCAGCCCTTGTCCTCAGTTCCCCAGCTGTAGGTGAGATAGCTGGACCAGACAGTGTGTGAAGGTTTCCTCCTGGCTAAGTACTTAGAAGCAAGTGGAACCTGCAGTGAACACACCTGTTCCTTCCCCTTGAGCTCTGGGCTTTGCTTCCAGCTGTTTTCCAGCAAAGGCACCATTTTGTGCTTTCCATGACTACGTGGGGATTAGGTGCTATCAGCCAGAAAGACACATCCCACTTCTGTTGTTTAACCACATTGTAAAACACATTTTGGTAAAGCAGATTACCTTTGTCTGTGTGTACTTAGTAATTAGAAGTTGGGTTCTTCATGAGGAAATCCAAATTAAGTATATGAAACTGATATAATGCAAAGCAATGGTGGGTGACACAGATAAATCTTTACGACTATTTAAAATATTTAAAATTTACTCAGAGTCCTATTATATTTAAATCCCTCCACATTGTACAAGCTTTACATTTTTTTTTTTTTAAATTGCTACTCTTGATTGGGGCTATAGCTCGGTGACAGAGGGCTTGCCTAGCATGCAAAAAGCAGCCCTGAGTGCAATCCCAGCACTGAAAGAAAAAAAAAATGCTACTCTTTATTGTAGCTATTTGACCTTTTTAAAGGCATTGCAGTAGCTCTCATGAGTACCTTTTCCATATACCAGTAGCTCTTATTTTATTTAGGACATTTTCAAGGGGAGGGGTTGTGAGAGCTCATGTCTTTCTTGAAAAATAAATATGCAACAAAATTTGAACTGGTCTCCTTTTCTACTTAATGAGTTTCCCCGTGGCCAGTGGAGGGTTTGAAAATCATTCCATTTTGTCCTTGTGCTGTATCCAGGCCTGGCATTATTATTTTTCATGGAGAGTTTGTGCCTAACAATTTAAAGACTTCTGTCCACATGCACTTGCAAAATGAGAGTTTCCTGAATCTGCTCCCTTCATTTATTCTTTTTTTTTTTTTTGGCTTCATTTTTCCTAGAGGGGCAGCCTGTAAATGAGAATGAAGCAGGTGAAGGTATCCTAAGGTCTAGGAGCCGATGAGGCTAGAAATGCTTCTCTATGCTCTTGGTGTTAGTGGGTGCAGGGATTTTCTTTTCTTTCTTTCTTTCTTTCTTTTTTTTTGACTGATTGTAGAGTGGT